CTGCTATACAGCAGGGGAACATTGACCGTTTGCGGTGGTACCTGGAAGCTAGCAGACGGATTGTTGAAACGCTCCGTCAAGCTGGCCTCGTTGTACCAGGCGAGAGCAAGCCGGCAGAGGCGTTTCCCCACCACGTTCCGTCTGCCAGCGGCGGTCTGCCCGTACGCCCTATGCCACCTGTGCCCGCCCGTTCTGTGCCCGCCCACCCTGTGCCCGCCCACCCTGTGCCCGCCCACTCTGTGCCACCTATGTCCGCCCGCGCTGCAGCCGTCCGCCCAGCGCCAGCTGTGGCTGTCATCCCTGCTCCTCCTTTGCCCGCCCGCCCCGCGCCACCTGTGGCCGTCCGCCCCCCAGCTCTGCCCCCTCGTGGTGCACTACCCTTGCCTGCTGTACAGCACGCACCTGTGGCTTGGGCCGACGTTCTCCCCCAACCCTGGGTGACTAGTCTGGTGGCTACCCCTCAGTGCATTTCCGACCTGAGCTTTTTCAAGGTGAGTTTTATGCTTGTCCTTATTATTTGCATCCTATATTTTCCCCTTGGAGCATCTGTGTCTGCCTTACCCATCCATTCGAAGTAGGAAGCAATGATGTCCCTAAGCACAATTTTTGTCCAACTCCCATTCCCTTGGCAGAAAAACAGCAACTTGGTGGTTATCTTTACTATTGCTGATGCGCCTCCACATGAGATCAACTTTTTCCCTGAGCTGGAATTGATGCGTGCGCAATTGGAGGACTGTTACGTGTCGCATGGAATTTCTCATGAGATCTTCAACGTGGTGATGAACCAGCACCCTGAGCGGGAGAAAATCCTGAAGGACAAGATGAATGAACGTCGGAGCAACATTTGGTGTGCGATGAAGCCGTGGCGTCTAGGGCCAGGCGGTTACATCGCCAAATCGAAAGTCACGATGCTGGCAGCAAAGAACATGGCGCCAACGAAACGCCGAAGTGCACTTGAATGGTGGACATTTTTCCGACGCCGTGAGTAGTTTGACGTTTTAACTGCTTGCTTGTATGCCCCTGGCACGTTCGTATACACTGTTTGTTTTACAGCTGTTTTGCTTTGCACGCATGTATTTTGATCAGTGCACTTGATGTATCTCGCTTTCCTCCCCACCTCCCCCTATCCCGCCTTTTCTGAGGCCCCCTTCTTCACCACCACACTTCATCACTCATGTCCCCTTCTCCCCCCCTTTTGCCTTCCCCTTGCATAATGCTTCCGTTGCTCCCACCCTCTCCACCCTAGGTTTCGGCCCCCCCTTCCTCCCCTCCTTTCCCCTTCCACCCCTCTTTTCCCTTCTCGCTCAATTCCACCCCCCCCCCCCCCCCCCCCCCCCCATCCTCCTCATCGTTTTTGTCCCCCTGTTTTCTGCTTCCACCCCCGTTTCCTACCCCCCCACCCCTCTGAAGCGCTCTCCTTCAGCCCCACACTTCCATCCCTGTTCCCCCCCTGCCCCCTCTAGCCCTCTCCTCTCCGAAATCCTATATGAAGCCCATTTTTGTGTTCCATAAGAACACCTTTTCCCCTCCATTCCCTCCTTCTGCCCTTCCTTCTCCCCCCTTCCTCCCATTTTCTTTTCTCCCCCCTTCTCCCACCTACTCTTTCCCCACCACCACCCCTCTCCCCCCTCTCTAATTGCTGGTCATGCTCAGCTATCTATGATAGCAAGTGGCATTGCGATAACCAAGATCGTCCATTTGCAAATATGGCCTTCTCGAAGGCATTGTGCAAGGGGCTTGGAGGAAAACGCTGCGGCACCTTCACGGCAATGATTATTCATGTGGCGACACTGCTTCACGTGATAAGCCTCATTCCAACTATCATATTGATTTGTAACAACATATTCTGCATTGTAAACTGATCCATCACTTTGTACTGTGGCAGATTGAGTGGCCCATGGCCAATGCCAATGGCCGGGCCACTCCGGCATTGGAGGGCAATGATGCCTCCAACAGGAGAGAGATTGCCCGCAAAGTCACGCTGGTGATAGGGTGGATCAGAGAGCGCCTGGCTGTTGAGCCAACGCTGTATCACCCGCAGCCACCTGCGTTTTTCAGGATGGGCAGCATAGCTGTTAGCATTCTAGTCGCGGGCTATGAGGAGGACTTTGCTGGCCTGATTTAAGTTGGCCAGCCATGGCAAGGGATTACTGTAGATCATGGCCCTGAGGTTGCCGACCATGGCTAGAGGGGGGATGGGCGGGGATGTAATTTTATTGCAACCCTAATTCGTAGGAAGTACCCTTATTGGTTTTTGTAGTTATTTTTTTTTTAATAAACGCATGTTATAAGATTCAGAGTAATAATCATTTTATAGCCATTATGAGGAGTTTTCAACAAGCATGTGAATTTGCAATTACAAACCGTTCCAAAAACCAGGCGTTCATAATCGTTTTAAGGCATTCACCCATTGAAAACAACACTGGGAAACAGCCATTCACGACCTGAAATACCCTCAAAAGAACCGGTATTTCAATGGACATTTACATGCTACATGTTTATGGCGTCAAAATGGCCGTTTACAGGGCTACTCCCCTTTCAGGTAGGGGGCATTTATGCCCCTTATAAGACCGTAAGTAGCGATACATGACCCCTTGGTAAATGACCCCGATTAGCCTAAACCCACAACCATTAACGACCGGTATTTTAATGCCCACTGTAGGGTTAAAAATGACCCCTATTTCGTCGAAAATGGCCATTCTGATACTCAACATTTTTGAGATGCTCTCACTCAAAACTCGACGCCCCTCTCACTCTTCGACCGCTTCCCCCCAGCACGTCACGTCCCCCTGCTGCCCGCTTCCCCCTGCTGCCCGCTTCCCCCTGCTGCCCGCCTCCCCCTGCTGCCCGCTTCCCCCTACTGCCCGCTTCCCCCTGCTGCCCGCTTCCCCCTGCTGCCCGCTTCCCCCTGCTGCCCGCCTCCCCCTGCTGCCCACTTCCCCCTACTGCCCACTTCCCCCTGCTGCCCACCTCCCCCTGCTGCCCACTTCCCCCTGCTGCCCGCTCCCCCTACTACCTGTTGGAGGTGGTTCGCGCTTGCCCCTAGTCAGCGCGTGGCAGCATGGCGTAAGCTAGGTGCAAGTATGACAGCGCTAACAGATGGCGTAAGCTGAAGACTACATACGGGTGTGCTAGGTGGTGAGGGGCTGCAAGGTTACGTGTTGGAAGGAGGAAGTGTTTGGGACATGCGGAGGACTTGTGAGCGACGAGCAGAAATTGGTACAGTGACGCGGTGTTCGGAGGAGCAGAAATGCGATTCGGTTATATTGTGTGAAATGCGGTTCGGATGTGCGCTACGCAATGTCTTGTGGCTTAGGAAATGTTTTCATATAAATCTGTTTCTTTGTATCTCTTTTAAAATAGTGAATCTGAAATTTCTCCCTCACGTCGTGCTGCCTGTTTACAACCAGAACTTGACTGGTGGTGTTAAGACTACCCTTAGTACTAGCGCAAGTGCTGTCGGGAGTCGGTTTGGAGTGTAAGACCGACCTGAGAGCAGCGAGAGCGCTGCCAGAATTTCTAACACTACCCTCTTCCCCCTGCTTCCCGCTCCCCCCTGTTTCCCGCTTCCCCCTGCTGCCTGCCTCCCCCTGCTGCCCACCTCCCCCTGCTGCCCGCTCCCCCATACTACTCTCTTCCCCCTGCTTCCCGCTTCCCCCTGCTGCCCGCTTCCCCCTGCTGCTCGCTCCCCCCTACTACCCTCTTCCCCCTGCTTCCCGCTTCCCCCTGCTGCCCGCTCCCCCCTACTACCCTCTTCCCCCTGCTTCCTGCTTCCCCCTGCTTCCTGCTTCCCCCTGCTTCCCTCTTCCTTTCACTCCTTTCCCTGCTAACCCTCCTATCCCTCGTATCTCCCCTTTCCCGCCTACCATCTCTGTCGCCACTCTCAGCCTCGCACTCTCTCCCTCCCAGAGCGTCCAGGGCTTCCCTCAATGCTGGCAGCTCTCCCTCTCAGCCTCCCACTCTCTCTGCCAAGGTCTCATGCCTCTCCTCTCCCACACTCCCTCACTCTACCCCTCTTTCCATCAATCTCTCACCCTCCCATCACTCTACCCCTCTTGCGGTGCACCCACCCTTCTCCCTTCAATCCCTGCTACCCCCCCTATCCCTGCTAAAGAACCCATCCCTGCCATCCCTCCAATCCCGTCTAACCCTTCTTTCATACCTATCCCTCCCTCCCCCCCTCCTTCCTCCAGCCCTCTCTCGTTCTCTCCCCATCAATCTCTCACCCCCTCCAGATGTCTCTCGCTCTTTGCTATCACTGAGAAACCACCCCTCGCTGTCCCATCCCCCTCTCAATCGTCGCCCTTCTCTCCTCTCCACATCACCCTGTTCCATCCCCTTCGTTCGGTGCTTTGTGCTCCCGTCATCCCTTTCCACAGGAGTTGGAGACGGGGGCCCTATGTCTTAGAGTGCCAATGGTGGGATCCTAGGCCGTGTCTTAGTGCGTCGTAGTGCATGGACCGTGTAATTTATTCTGCAGGCTATTACCTAGCACATTTGTCACAAGTTGTACTTGTAATTTATTCTGCAGGCTATTTGCACACTTGTCACAAGCTATTACATTACACTAAAGAGTACCACTTATTGAGTATAGCTAATCGGAGTATTCGAGAAAGAACCATGGGAATACGTGAGTGCAGGCGCCACATGGAGATGCCTCGCGTCAACCCTCGGTACTGTACATCCTCCTCTACCCCTTCCAAAGAATACCTCGCGGAGTACAATACTGCTGGAAGTTGAGTGTGAGGGATGGGAGGAGAGAGGGTCAGAGGGATGGGCTTCAAGGGAGAGAGAGTGAGGGATGGGCATCGAGGGAGAGAGAGCGACAGATGGGCATCGAGGGAGAGAGAGTGAGGGATGGGCATTGAGGGAGAGAGAGCGACGGATGGGTATCGAGGGAGAGAGAGTGAGGGATGGGCATTGAGGGAGAGAGAGTGAAGGATTGGCATCGAGGGAGAGTGTGTGAGGGATGGGTATCGAGGGAGAGTGTGTGAGGGAAGGGGAGAGAGAGAGAGAGAGAGAGAGAGAGAGAGAGAGAGAGAGAGAGAGAGAGAGATAGAGAGAGAGAGAGAGAGAGAGAGAGAGAGAGAGAGAGAGAGAGAGAGAGACAGAGAGAGAGAGAGAGAGGTGCAGTGAGAGAAAGAGAGGGAGAGGGAGGGGTGGTCAGAGAGGGGGTGATAGCATGAGAAAGGAAGGAATGGATGGGCAGCAGGGCAGGAGAGAGAGAGAGAGAGAGAGAGAGAGAGAGAGAGAGAGAGAGAGAGAGAGAGAGAGAGAGAGAGAGAGAGAGAGAGAGATAAGGGGGGATGAGCCTGAAACTTACGAGTGGACGTCGGTGGACATTAGGGCGGGGGAAGAGATGAGAGAATGATGCTGTGTGTGAGCGAGAGCTCGTGTGTGTTGCATGAATATATTTGAATAAAGGGGGGGTGTAATTCAGCGGATGATTGAGGGAGTGGGAGGCAGCGAGACGCAGGAAGCGGCATGTGGGTAGTGGGTAGCAGGAAGCGGGAAGCCCGAGGCGGGAGTTTGAGTGCATGGGATTATGGGGGTGAGTGCAGGGGATGATGGGGGGGAGTGCATGGCATGATGGGGGTGAGTGCATGGGATGATGGGGGTGAGTGCATGGGATGATGGGGGTGAGTGCATGGCATGATGGGGGTGAGTGCATGGGATGATGGGGGTGAGTGCATGGGATGATGGGGGTGAGTGCATAGCATGTTCGGGTTGAGAGCGCATGCCGCATATCTCACTCCATGCTACATCACTGGTGCGTGGCATGGCATGCCCCACGATTAGCTTCATTGCGCGCTTCCCTTGTTGTGCAAACCCCAAACCTTCACTATTCTGCTTATGCTTCTGTTAGCATCTGAGGGCGCTCTCCGCCCACGTAGAGGAGATATGCGCCAAGGTGCGGGAGGTGAGGAGATATTTGAGTTGACTCAAATGTCAGATTGCTGTGATAACCCCGAACCCCCTCTTCTCCTCTGCTTTCACTGGCAGCATCTGACGGCTCTTTCCAGCCATGCATAGGCAACACGCGCCAAGGTGCAGTGAGTGAGAGTGAGATGACTGGTAACCCCCACCCCCCTTGCCCTCTTTTTCCCCTCAACATCCCCTTCTGGCAGCATCTGGCGGCTGTCTCCAGCCATGCAGAGGCAATACGCACCAAGGTGGGGGAGGTGAGGGGACTGGTGCGCGGATTGGAGGAAAGAGAAGCACATGGGCATGGGAAGGTGGAGGGGGGAAAGGAAGAAGGGGAAAAGGAGGAAAAGGAGGTGATTGTGATTGAGGATGATGAGGAAGAGGAGGAGTAGGAAGGGGAGGAGAAGGAAGGAGAGGAGCAAAAAGGAGAGGAGCAGGAAGGGGAGGAGCAGGAAGGGGAGGAGCAGGAAGGGGAGGAGCAGGAAGGAGAGGAGCAGGAAGGAGAGGAGCAGGAAGGAGAGGAGAAGGAAGAGGAGGAGATGGCGGATGATACGTTAAAAAGCATGGATGTAGCCTCCAACGAAGAAAGGGGAGTATGAAGGAGAGATTGCAGGGAGGGTCCAAGGGAGGGTTAGAGGGAGGGCAGGAAGGAGAGGCAGAACGATGCTTAGACAAGGACGAGCTTGAGGAGGTGCAAGGCACCCAAGGCCCTGCTCTTGATGCAATTCCACAGCAGGGAGCGCCAGGTGGAGTGTCTGGCTGATGCATTGAGACGGGGGAGCGCGAGGGGCAGGCAGCAATGCAAGGCCCTGCTTTTGATACGCCCCAGCAGCAGGAATCACCAGCAGGAGAGTCAAAATGATGTATTGAGATGGGCGAGCGTGAGGGCCGGGGAGGTGCGGAAGAGAAAGTCGGTGACAACTACTATCTGATGCAGGTATACCAAAGCTGGTGGACGACTCCCGAATGGGCTGCTTTCCAGGGCCGGGTTGGGTGCAGCAACAGCGGGGATGGCGCATGCAGGGCTGGGGCAACTGGATGTGCAACACATGCTGGAAGCTGGTGGAAGGCTCAAGAGTGGGGTACTTTCGCAGGCAATGCAAGACATACTGGTGGCAGCGGTAGAAGTGGGGGTGGCAACTGGGGGAGGCACCATTGGAAGTGGCATTACTGGAAGGCTAGAAAATGGGTTGGTATGCAGAGAAGAGCAAGGGACGGCAGTGGCAGGGGTGGAAGTGGGAGTGGCGGCTGGGACAGGCATCACTGGAAGTCGTGAGAGCGCCAAGGGGCTTCCCACTCCCCGCTTCACGCGTTTCGCTGCCCCCTGCTTCCCACTCCCCGCCTCCCGCGTTTCGCTGCCTGCCGCTTCCTGCTCCCCACCTCCCGCCTCCTGCCTTCCAAACTCCCGCCTCAGGCTTCTCGCTTCCCGCTACCCACTACCCACATGCCGCTTCCCGCGTCTCGCTGCCTCCCGCGTCCAACTCCCCGCTTCCCGCTTCCCTCTTCCCGCAACCCGCAACCCGCCTCCCGCTTCCGGCTCCCCACGTTTCGCTGCCTCCCGCTTCCTGCTCCCCGCCTCCCGCCTCCTGCCCCATCATCCCATGCACTCACCCCCATCATCCCATGCATGCACCCACCTCCAAAACACTAATTGCAGGAGATCCACCGGCCATGCGAGCTTGCTTGCGCCCATCGCGGCTAGCCGGAAACAACGCCCCGTCCTGCCATTCTGCTCGCATAGTCGCAGCGACAATCAAGATGGCTTCAACCTCCCTTCCCACACTCTCCTCCTGTTACTGCCCGCTCAGCCTCCCTCAACGCTCCTCAGTTCCTCCTCCCGCTCCTTTGCCTCTGCTGTTGACTGGCGTCCTTTTCTCTCTGCTGTTTCTGCTGCTTCTAGCTTCTTTCTGACTTCTTCCCTCACTCTCTCCTTTCGCTCTGTCACTCCCTCCTCAGCCTCCCTCACTCTCTCTCCCTACACCTACTCTCTCCTACGTACCCCTCACTCTCTCCTCCCTACCCCTCAGTCTCTCCTCCCTACCCTTTACTCTCTCCTCCCTACCCTTTACTCTCTCCTCCCTACCCCTCACTCTCTCCTCCCTACCCCTCACTCTCTCCTCCCTCGACCACACCCTCTCCTCTACTCCTGTCCTCACCCCTTCCTCAAAGGCGGGCTCCATGCACCGCTTTCCCAGCTTAAGTAGCTCACCGTATAATAACCCTTCTAACCGCTTGTTATCCCTGTCTGCCTTGTCCGCGTTCTTCTTGTTAGCTGCTTCATCAGTCGGCACTTCATCCGCTCTATCCGCCGCCTCGTTATCCACAACCACTTGACAGTCCTGTCTCACTGGCCTCGCGGCTGTCGCAGGGCCGCATGCCCCTGTCGCATGGCGGAGTGCCACTCTGTCAGCCGCCTGGCGAAGCCCAGCTTTCGCCATCGTCGCAGCGTCTCCAGTGGAGACTTTCCGACTTTCCCGTCGGACGGTTTCCGTGCGTAAGTGAGAAGCTCGAGAGAAGCCCGAGAGAAGCTCAAGGTAAGCTCGAGCGAAAAGACCGAGCTTGAAAACGGCCCCTCGTCCTTCAAGTAGGGACTCGAACCCTCAATCGCCGGCTTTGATTTCTTCAGAAACCACCTTAAGCTGATAGCAGCCGGCGAGGGCGTCGCAGCGAGAGTTGCGAGGAACTGTGCTTGTGGAAGTCGAGGAAGCTGCTTTGTGGATTTTCCGTGTGAGTGCCTCTCGTTTTGAACATCTCAAGCCGATAACGGAAGCCATTCTGTGCATTTTGCTTCGCCTTGTGGACGGATTGGCGGGAGAGAGGAGGCGGTTGGAAGGGGTTTGCTGCGATTTCGCGGGGTGAACCTCCAGAGCGCAAAAATCCGAGTGAATATTTCGAAATTCAGTTTTGTGATACAACCGCGTTTCTGGCTCCCGTGGTACCGGTATTTCTATATGAACCCATTGGGCTACAGCTCAGTCAGAACTTTTGCTTAGCTACAATTGATCCTACATACATTATGCAAGAGACATTTCATAAAAATTCTTTAGCCTCCGCTTGTGGCGTACGTTTTCACGCTACTCGACGTTTGGTCTTTAGCAAAATAAAGACCATCTACACTACTGGACTGCACATCAATATCGGTACCACTTTCTGTCAAACATATATTGTATGTTTCTATAGACAAAATAGGTTTGTGCCTTGGGGAGTACAACCCATTAGGTTATATTCCCTTGTATGCCTTGTTCTAGACATTCTTTCACTTGAACATGGTATCAGAGCAGGTAGGTCCCCGCCCCCCCCCCTAGCGCTTCCGCCCTAGGTCCTAGCCGCCTCGTTGCCCCGCGGCCCCGTCCCCTAGTGGCCCCACGGCCCCGTCACCTCGCCGCCCAGCGGCCCTGTCACCTAGCGGCCCGCGGCCCCGTCCTCTAGCAACCTCGTGGCCCCGTCCCCTAGCAGCCCCGCGGCCGCGTCCCCTAGCAGTCCCGCGGCCCCGTCCCCTAGCGGCCCCACGGCCCCGTCCCCTAGCGGCCCCGCGGCCCCGTCACCTAGCAGCCCCGCGGCCCCATCCCCTAGCTGCCGCGCGGCCCCGTCCCAGAGCGGCCCCGCGGCCTCGTCACCTCGCGGCCCCACGGCCCCGTCACCTCGCGGCCCTGTCCCCTAGCAGCCCCGCGGCCCCGTCACCTCGCGGGCCCCTCCCCAGCCGGCCCCGTCTCCCTGCAGGCCCCGCCTCTTTGCCGGCCTCGTTGCCTTGCCGCCCACGGCCTCGTCATCTAGACGCCTCGCCGCCGTCCTCGGGCGCTCTGCACCGCACTGCACCGTACTGCACCGCACGGTACCGTACTGCACCACTCTGCACCGCACTGCACCGCCCTGCACCGCACTGCACTGCACCCTACCGTACTGTACCTCCCTCCACCGCACAGTACCGTACTGCACCGCACATCACCGCTTTCCGCCGCGCTCTCCTGCCCAGTACTGTCTTTCTCCTGCTGCTGCAACCATGATGGCGGACTCGGTCTTGCTTTTTTATGCTGAGGGGCAGCCGATTGAGTTCGACTCGTGGCTCGTCGACCTCAAGCGACACCTGACTGGTCAGCGGTAGGATGGCCACTCCCTGGCCGTCCACATCGACGGTACGCTCCCGTGCCCGGACCCCCCTGCTGCCCTCCCCGCTGACCCCACCTCTGCTGACCGTGAGTCCGCTACCCTTGCCCGTGCTGTTTGTTTGTCGTGTGACGCTGTCACACAGCTTGCGATTATTCATGCCCTTCCCCTGTCCGAGCGCCCCCGCTTTAGGTCTGTCAAGACTGCGCAGGAGTTCCTAGAGGCTGTTGTTGCGCACTATTCCACCCCGTCCTCTGCCTCTGTAGGTCGCCTGATCTTGCCCATGCTCTTTCCTGACCTTGCGTCTTTC